GTGGGGAGGGAGTGTGGGAGTAGGGAATTGAGTGGGGGAATGGGAGATGGAGTGAGGGAGTGAGTGGGGAGTGGGAGAGGGAGTCGGGAGGGAGTGGGGGAGTAGGGGAATGAGAGGGCGTGGGGGGAGTAGGGGAGTGAGTGGGGAATGGGGGAATGGGAGAGGGCATGGGGAGGGAGCGGGGGAGTGAGGAAGTGAGTAGGGAATGGGAGAGGGAGGAGGGGAGTGAGTAGGGAATGGGAGAGGGGATGGGGAGGGAGTGAGTTGTGGAATGAGGATTAAGTGTTGCAGGGAGTAGAATCTAAACGAGGAGTGTGAGGAGGGATCCCACTGATGGAGGGAGCAGGGGTTGAGGCAGCAGTTCATGTGAAGGAGGCCTGAGGCCTATCACTGCAGCTTCCCAGGCCCAGCCTCTCCCAGGCCTGAACGCCTTCCCCTGTCGCTAAGCGTCATGAAGCTGAGGGCACAGTCTTGCATTTCTTTCTTTTAAATTTCTTTGTGAAATGTTGCCTCCACTTTGGAGCTGCTGTTGAAATTTTAGATTAGATTTTTTGCACAGCCTTCGGGAGCTGGTGGAGCCTGAGGTAGGCCGCATGGTAGTTGGAACCGTGTGCGAGGCAGACTTAAATCTGTTAACCTGGAACACAGATGGCTCACAGAACAACTTGGCTTTCTATTTTGAGTTGATTTAGTGTGGAGCATTTCTAGATAGTTTTCAGTGAATTTTTAGATCATTTGTCGGTCATCTTTCCTTCCTCCAACTCGAGATTTGCAGCTGCTGATAGCAAGTGATTAATGCATGACAACATCTGACTGTGTGCCCACGCTGCTGATGTTAGTCTGTTTCTGGATGCTTGGCCACACCGGTACCAGCGATCCTGAGTTCAAATCTCATCACAGCCGCTTAGTTCTTTCCTTATTCCCGGGCTAGGCCAGACTACTTGTCCCTAGTTGCCCCTTGCTAAGGGGGTGGTTGGCTGCTTTGTAGAAATACCAAGTCTCTGTCACTTTAAGGAACATTTGGCTGGGGAAGTGAGCCTGCAGCTTGCTAACCTGGTCTGGCCTACACATGACTCCAAATCAACACCATCTTATTGACTCCACTAATCCAATTGGTCAGGCAAGATCATGGAAAATAGGAGCTGCAGTAGGCCATTTGTTTCTTCAAGCCTGCTCGTCCATTCAACAAGATCTTTAGCAATCTTTATTCCTGAATTCCCAAATTATCCCTGTGTCCAGTCACCTCTCAATTTCTGTCAGGATTCAACAATAGAGTACCCACAAAGCTCTGGGAGAGGACATTTCTCCACGCCACAATTCAGTGTGGAAAAAAAAAACACCGATCCCTAATTCTACGACCGTCCTGCATCTCTCCTTCATTTCCCTAACAGGGGAAAGGCTTTCTCAGCATCCACCCTGTCAGGACTCTTCCACATGGATCCATGGGATCACCTCCTGTCCTTCCAAACTCCGGGGAATGTCGGCCTAACACGCTCAATCGCTCTGGGTGTGGAAGTTGTTGGGAATGGCCAATAAATTGGACCTCACTCACATCCCTGGGGAGATATCCTGAAATAAATGTCTTCGGTAAAGTAATGATAGTGGAAGATACTTCCTTATAATGCCAACTGAAATCTTCAGACTGGTTTTGCATCCTTTCAGAAAGTGTGCCTAGTCAGCAGTGTTACCGTCCAGCATAAGCAATCAGTACCACACCCAGTAACCCACATTTGTTGACTTCCACAGGTAAGGACGTGGCCAGGCTGAAAAAACTTGGCCATCTTTCAGTCTCTAGTGTCACCGCTAACTCCTTCCAGCTTTCCTGGGCAGCGGAGGGCAATTTTGATACAGTACGTAGCACTTGGTTCTAAAGTGGCACGGAAACGCACGTTAGCCGGTGGTCGCTGGAGATCAGTGATCGCAGGCCTCAGGCCTGGCACCAGCTACAGAGCCTTACTCTTTGGGGTTTCCCATGGCCAACGTACAAGACCAATGACTGCCCTTGTGTCCACCAGAGGTAATGGTTTCAGTGAATGGAGCCCTCAGCACTCAAAGCTGGGTAGAACACATTCCCCCTTCCTGATGAAGGGTCTAGGCCCGAAACGTCAGCCTTTCTGTTCCTATGATGCTGCTTGACCTGCTGTGTTCATCCAGCTCTGCACCTTGTTGTCTTGGATTCCCCCTTCCTTATTGCCTTTGCTGAACACTGCCCTCTGCTGTTATTTGCAGCAATGTTGCTTGTTCCCCTGGAAACTTTGGCATGGCAGGGGTCAAAGTGCACGGCCATGCTCATCGTCCTGACTGTCAGGAACCTCACACACCCTCCACCCCAAACGTTACACCACCATTGCATGGAATTTGAATTCATTTGGATTTGTTCTGAGCCGAGACTATAGCTGGATGTTTGCCTCCATGTGTGTTTTGTTTCACACGAATGTAAACACACACTTAATACAATCCATCATCGTTTCCACAGCTTTTGCATGCAATGCAGAGCAGAATGTGCTTGTTCTCAGGAATTTCAAACCATTAAAAAAAACCGAAAGAACCGCGGATGCTGTAAATCAGGAACAAAAACAGAAGTTACTGGAAAAGCTCAGCAGGTCTGGCACCATCTGTGAAGAAAAAAAATCAATCTTAATGTTTCGGGTCCGATGACCCTTCCCTAGAACTGATAACAAATGTAATCTTCATGTCCTAGCTCCCTGACCCACACACCAGGCCTTGTTATCCCATAGCCTGCCATTACACACTAACACACTATTACATACTAGTGACTGTTAGTCACTAACAGTCCCCATTAACAGCTATTCACTCTCCCAGCCAGATCGTTATCAACTCCTTTGTCTATCCAACTGCTCTTCTCTCTCTTTGGGCTCTATCCTTTATCTTATTGTTTCCTCCCTACTCCATCCCCCTCCCTGTCTTCTGCATATTCCCCATCAGTTCTGAGGAAGGGTCACTGGACCCAAAACATTAACTCTGATTTTTGATTCACAGATGCTGCCAGACCTGCTGAGCTTTTCTGGCTACGTCTGTTTTTGCTCCTAACTTCAAACCATTCTTCATTTCCAGGAACAAATCATAGTCGATCATCGTTCCTCCATCTTTGAGATAGAAATCATTGGCCTGACATTCATCCTCATTAATTCCAATATGTCACAGCTGCTGATCAGTGTGAGAAATCCCAGTGTCTTCCATCATTTTCATCAAACTCTCAGTATTTTTTGTTTAGCTGTACAAATTGTAAAATGGCTATTTCTGTGCTGTATGACTCTGTGACTCTGAGATGAACTAGATTGGTTTTTGGGAGAGGTGGGGCAGATTGAATGAATGGGCTGAATGGCCACTCCCTGTCCTTTACTATTGTAAGACGCTGAGACAATGGGAGAGGAGCAGTGGGAAAAGGAGATTTAAAAAAGGCGTGCGGTAACTCCACAGAATATAAATTCTCTGAAATATCACAAATCTTCAA